AAGCCCTCTGTGAAGCAGCCAGCAGAGGGAGCGTAGCCATAGGTTAATGTTCATCCACTCACCAAAGCTGTTCACACGCCAGACTCCACACGTAGCATGCACCTGTGCTTCCTCTGCACAACAGCCCCACAGGCATGTTCTAACATCATCTCCATTTGCTCGGGAAGGGTGCAGCTTAGAGGGTGAACTTGCCCTCGGTTACTCTGGGAAGAAAAGGGTCTCAGTCAGGTGGTTGGAGCAACCCATTGGGTCAGGGCACATGTAAGAAACAACAGTGGACAATGAGTCCCCCTCCCCCACTTCAATAAATAAAAAGAAAAGAGAAGGATCTCGTACCACCAGGTGGAAGTGCCGCCTGCAGGAACCCTGAGGAGGGGCGCCAGCAAATTCGTAAAGATCCTTCACTGTGTGCCAGGCACTGTTCTAGACACAGAGGCTACCTCAGCAGATAAAGTTGCCCTTTCCTTCCATCGTACTAAAAATAATAGAAGATATTCGCGGGGATGTGTCCGTGGCCTGACCAGCAGAAAATGGGCTCCAGAGGGGATGAGGAAAGGTCCATGGTCCCCAGAGATCAGGGCAGGCAACTATCCCCACCCTCCTGCCTCCCTGCCGCAGGTGGGGAGCAGGGGCCATCTCCCTGTTGTGTCCTGTAAGTCCTGGATGAGAAATTGGAGTTGTGGGGTTCTCAAGTTCTAGGGTGTTTTTAGGGGAGACCTGAGGAATCTGCCCTGCAGGTCAACTAGGGAATCTGCCCCATGGAAGCAGCATGTGGAGAGCACTTTCCCAGGCCCAGTGGGACAATGCCATCTCTGACGGTGGGTACGGGGATTAGGAGCCAAGGTGGGCTCTGCAAGCGAGGCTGCCTGGATCCTCCTTCCACGCTCACCAACGGGCTCCTGCCTATGCCCAGTGTCTGGGAGCGCAAAGCCTGAGGCCGCGGTCACCGAGTGTGAGCGCACCCCAAGAGTGGTGTGCGTGGGTGTGTGCCATGTGCTGCGTTGGTGGCGGGGGCGGGAGGGTCTTGTGTATGGGCACGCGAGGGGCGCACCAAAGGGACTTGTGAAAGTGTTTGGAGGCCAAAAACGGGGGTGCTGAGCCGGTGTCCGCAGAAACCCGATACGTGGCGGAGTCGGTGGTGGGGGGCATGGAGTGAGGCTTGGCTGAAGAGAGCAGCGTTTGGACCTGCGTGCAAGAGGCCAAGCGGCGGGTTTGCCTGCCGGGGGATGGCGCATTCCGTCGCGGCTGGGCGGGAGGGTACGTTCAGGAACCCGCGCTGGAGAAGCCCTGGGCGGGCCGAGGCCCCGTCCCGGACGCCGGTTGGACTGCGCCTGGAGCATGAGCTGCTGGACCAGCCTGGGACGCGGCGGCCGCCCGGCGCCCGGTGGACTACGGGGGGAGGCGGATTTGGGACAAGGACCCGGGAGCTGCGCCGGCCGGTGTGCGCGATTGGTGTGGGGGTTCAGCGCGCCCCTTAGCAAGCGAGCAGGGACCGGACCCCATCTCTGAGGCTTCAGGGGCGGGGCCTGCGAGAGGGGCGGGACCATGGAGGGATGACCGGGCTGAGGAGGGCGTGGCCAGGGAGACGGGCTGTGCGGGGGCGGGCCCACGGCTGCGGCGGCGCGCGCCGGCGGGGGCGGGGGTCCTGGCGTCGCCGAGGTTCGCCGGGGCGCGCAGGGAGGCCGGCCGGGTGCGCGCGGGGATGTGACTCGGGCGGGAGCCAGCGGGAGCGTGGTCGCTGCGGGGCCGTGCGGCTCGGTGAGTGGAGCCCTGCTAACGGGCGGAGAGCGCTGAAAGGACTCCAGAAACTTTTCCCGCGTGGAACTGGGAGGGCATGGGGGTTCTTATCCTTTTCTCACCCCCCACGGGTGAGCGCGTTGGGGAAGGGGGCATCCGGTGCGGGGCCGCGGGGAAGTGGCCAGGGCAGCGGGGAGCAGGGTGGCGGGCGGGCTGCCCCCGGACCAGGCAGAGACCCAGATCTGGGAGGAGAGTCGGGGCGAAGCGGGTGAGGCGGCGGACGTGGTGCCCGGGAGCCGGGGGGCCACTCCTGCGTGGAAGCCGCTGCGGGGCCGGGCTGCGCGGCGAGCTGGGGGGCGGCCCGGGCCGCGGAGGGCCAGGCCGGCTCGGGGGTCCCTCACGCTGGCGGGGCCGGGCCCTGTCCTGGGGCTCCTGCCTCCCGCCCCGCGCCGTCCGGGAGCTGGCTGCCCGCGGGAGGGCCTGCCGCAGAGGACCCCCGCCCCGCGGCCACGGCGCTCCGGCGCCGGACAGAGCCCCCTCCCTCCTTCCCTCCGGGGCCGCTGCGCCGCCGGGCCCGGGGCCGGGGGGCCGGGAGCCGGGGGGCCGGGTGCCGGGGGCCGGGGGGCCGCCAGGGCTGGAGGCGGGAGGGGACTTGGCCGGGAGCCTCGGAACTTCAGCCGGAGCGGACCGGAGACTGCGGCCCGGCGGCGCCCCCCCTCCCCCCCCGGAGGCCGGGCTGCGGGCGGGGACCGGGATCAGGGCCCCGGACCCCGAGCCCCCAGGCTCCCGGCTCCCGGCCCCAGGCCCCCCGGCCCCCGGCGGAGGGCCCCTCCTCCCGGCCCCCAGGTCCCCGGCCCCCGGCCCCGGCGGAGGGCCCCTCCTCCCGGCCCCCCAGTCCCCGGCCCCCGGCCCCCGGCCCCGGCGGAGGGCCCCTTCTCCCGGCCCCCAGGTTCCCCGGCCCCCGGCCCGCTGGAAGGGCCTCCGCCGGAGGGCTGGGGGAGCTGCAGGAGCCGGTCTTCTCTGACAGGTTGTTCACCAGAAAGCCGGCGTCCCCGGGCGGCAGTACCATGGGGGGCAGTGCCATGGGGGAGAGAGGGGGGCAGTGCCATGCGGGGCGGTGCCATGGGGGGCGGTGCCATGCGGGGCGGTGCCATGGGGGGTGCCGCGGGAGGGGCCATGTGGGGCGGGGGGGGGCAGTGCCATGGGGCATGGGGGGCAGGAGGGACAGTGTGCTGAGCTGCTGGGGGGGACAGTGGAGAGCAGTGCAGTTCGAGGGCTGGGAGGAGGGAGTGAGGAGGGGGAACGGAACAAAGGCCATTGTGGCTGGAGCTCCCCTCTCGGCAGGCAGATGTGTGTGTGTGAGTGTGTGTCTGTGAGTGTGAGTGTGAGAGTGTGTGTGTGTGTGTGTGTGTGTGTGTGTGTGAGTGTGAGTGTGTGTGTGAGTGTGTGTGTGTGAGTGTGTGTGTGTGAGTGTGTGTGTGTGAGTGTGTCTGTGGGTGTGAGTGTGTATGTCTGAGTGTGTGTGAGTGCGTGTGTGTGTGTGTGTGTGTGTGTGTGAGTGTGAGAGGGTGTGAGTCTGAGTGTGAGAAGGTGTGTGAGAATGAGTGTGTGTGTGTGAGAGTGTGTGTGTGAGTGTGTGAGTGTGTCTGTGTGTGTGAGTGAGTGTGTGTGAGTGTGTGTGTGTGTCTGAGTGTGTGTGAGTGTGTGTTTGTGAGTGTGTGTGAGAGGGTGTGTGAGTGTGAGAGTGTGTGAGAGTGAGTGTGTGTGTGAGAGTGAGTGTGTGTGTGTGTGAAAGTGTGAGTGTGTGTGTGAGTATGTGTGTCTGTGTGTCTGTGTGTGAGTGTGTGTGTGAGTGTGTGTGTGTCTGAATGTGTGAGTGCGTGTGTGTGAGTGTGTGTGAGTGTGTGTGTGAGTGTGAGAGGGTGTGAGTGTGAGTATGAGAGTGTGTGGGTGTGAGTGTGTGTGAGAGTATGTGAGTGTGAGGGTGTGAGTGAGAGTGTGTGAGTGTGAGAGGGTGTGTGAGTGTGTGAGAGTGAGTGTGTGTGAGTGTGTGAGTGTGTGTGTGTCTGAGTGTGTGTGTGAGTGTGTGTGTGTGTGAGTGTGTGTGTGTCTGAGTGTGTGTGTGAGTGTGAGAGTATGTGAGTGTGAGGGTGTGAGAGTGTGTGAGTGAGAGGGTGTGTGAGTGTGAGAGTGAGTATGAGAGGGTGAGTATAAGAAGGGTGAGTGTGTATAAGAGGGTTCGAGAGTGAGTGTGAGAGTGAGTGTGAGAGGGTGTGTTAGTGTGAGAGTGAGTGTGAGTGTGAGAGGGTGTGTGAGTGATATAATCCAGCCAAACTGCCTTAATCCATAAAAGGGAAGTGATTGGCTGCTAGCGGGCAGGTCCGGGCCCCTGGCTTCAGGCACTGCTGAAGCAGGGTGAACAGGCGCGGAGAGATGAGACCAAGAGACAGAAGCTCTGATGGAGAGGAAGGGAGTGTGGCACGCCCAGGCCTGCAATGGGGACCTCGGTCCTTGCTGTGGCTCCAAGAAGCACCGAGTGGAGGGCAGGAGGGCGGAAGCCCTGGGCTAAGGTGGCTGCTGTGGACTCCCGCTTCCGTGGGGTCCAGAGTGGTGCCAGGGAGCGTCTGTGGGCATCCCTGGGAGAGGCTGGCATGGGATGTGAGATGGGTTCTGGGGGAAGCTCTGGGGGGGATGCGAGGGTGGGGACTCAGGATGGAGCGGGGAGCTGGTTCATTGGGCTCACGGTCCTGCAGCTGGAGTGCGGGAGGCTTCCGGGAGCTGGCTGTGTGGCCCTGGGCAGGTGCCCGCCTCCGGGGAGGTGGGGGTTGTCCCTGGGTAAGGACTAGCTGTGTTGTGTGCAGGCCTGGACCGTGTCACCACATGCCAGCCGCTGCCACGAGAGACTGAAGGGCCTGTGGTGGCTGTGCCATGCTGTCTCTTTAAGGTTTCGTTTTACTGCCTGATTTTTGGAGGTCAGATATGGCCTCAAAGTCAAAGACTATGACGATATTTCCGGAAAGGGAGCCTCGCTCTCCCCTCTCCTCCAAGTGCTGGTGATGAGTCAGGCTGTTCCCGAGGCCAGGGTGCAGATGGGGCCCGAATCCACCCACCCCAGTACCCGACCCACCCCCAGGGAGGGGGGGCGGCAGGCTTGTCCTGAGTGTCCCAAGGTGCCGGCGCGGTGCCGGGACTGGGAGGCTTACGATGCACTGGTGTTTCCCACCCCCACCCCGCTTTCCTCCACAGGCGCGGTGCTGGAGAGGATGGGAGCGCGTGGGGCGCCGGCCCTGCTCCTGCTGTGCGTGGCGGCCGCGGGGGCCACGGAGAACGCCAGCACGACCCGCGGCTGCGGGCTGGGCCTCCTCCCGCAGTACGTGTCCCTGTGCGACCTGGACTCCGTCTGGGGCATCGTGGTGGAGGCGGCGGCCGGCGCGGGCGCCCTGATCACGCTGCTGCTGCTGCTCATCCTGCTGGTGCGGCTGCCCTTCATCACGGAGCCGGAAAAGCGGGAGCCGCTGGGTCTGCACTTTCTCTTCCTGCTGGGCACGCTGGGCCTGTTCGGCCTCTCCTTCGCCTTCGTCATCCGCGAGGGCGAGGCGGTGTGCGCGGCGCGCCGCTTCCTGTGGGGCGTGCTGTTTGCGCTCTGCTTCGCCTGCCTGGCGGCGCAGGCCTGGCGCGTGCGGGCGCTGGGGCGGCGCGGCCGCGGCCCGCCGGGCCCGCAGCTGCTGGGCGCCGCGCTCGGCCTGACGCTCGTGCAGGTGGTCATCGCGGCCGAGTGGCTGGTGCTGACGGTACTGCGCGCCGCGCGGCCGGCCTGCGCCTACGAGCCCGCCGACTTCGCGCTGGCGCTGGGCTACGCCTTGGCGCTGCTGGCGGCCGCGCTGGCGCTGGCGCTGCGGGCGCTGTGCGGCGGGGCTGGGCGCTGGCGGCGGCGCGCGGCCGGCCTGCTGCTCACCGCTGTGCTCGCCGCGCTCGTCTGGGCCGCCTGGCTCGCCATGTACCTGTACGGCAACGCGCGGCTGCGGCCCAGCGGCGCCTGGCGCGACCCCAGCCAGGCCGTGGCGCTGGTGGCCAGCGGCTGGGTGTTCGTGCTGTGCCACGCCGTCCCCGAGGTGCGCTGCGCGCTGCTGCCCGCCCCGCGCCGCCCCGCGCCCGACCTCTTCGCGGCGCCGCCCCGGGCGCGGGAGCCCGCGCCGGAGGAGGACGTGCCGCCCTGCCTGGACAACAAGGCCTTCGCCCTGGAGGAGCCCGGCGCAGGTAGGCTGGCTGCGGGCGGCGCCTGAGCGGCTCCCCGCCGCCCAGGGGACTGGGGCGGGCAGCTCTGGCAGGTCAGAGCCCACAGCACTGCCCCTGGGTGGAAAGTGGCCCAGAGGTGGATTTGCACTTGGAATGGTGCCCTATAAATTGCCCCGTAATTTAATGTAAAAATCCAGATCTCTGGCTTAGAAAAGCTAGATCAAGCCCCGACGCCCCGTCGAGCCAGCAGCAGCTGGCCGCAGCGCCCACCTGCGTCCCCAGCGCACAGCTGCTCCTCCCGCAGTGCCCCTGCCCCCTGGCCCAGCCACGCCCACCATCAGTTAGCATTCATTGCCCTGGCCGGGCATGTGCCGCGGGTGCCAGGTGATGAGGGCAATGCTTGGGCCCTCCCCTCCCTCTGGCATCACGAGTGCAGAAATTGCCCTCACGTCAGGTGGCTGGATTCAGCTGCTGTCTCTGCCGCTTCCAGATGTGGGGCTTTGTCGTTTCTCTCATCTGTTCTAAAAATAAAAGGTGCTTCGTGGCGCTGCTGTGAGAGGTGCCATGCTGGGGTGCCACGCCAAGGGGTCCCACGATGCCTGGCATGGGATGTGATTCTGGCTGGGCTCTCTGAGAGCAGAGCTTGAGGACAGGCACAGAGAGCTGGCTGGCGTGGTCGGGATGGGCATCTCTGGGAGCCCAGAGGACACAGTGGGCAGGGCGCGCAGAGGCCAGCAGCCGGCGGGGCCCAGTGGCCCGGGAGCCTCTTGAGGTTCTTCCCCACAGACCTCCGGGCCGCGATGGTAAAGCATTGCCTGAAATGGGGGTGAGTTTGCACATTCCTTGTTGATCTGTCACGTCAGGCTCTGAAAGCTCTGTTACCTGGGAACACTAGGAGCTTGAAGGTCTCGTCTCCTTGCGGTGAAGTGGGGATGCTAGGACTGCCCGTGTATTTTAGGGTCTTCACAGGGGGTGGCTAACCTTGGTTGCGTGCACTCATGGACCAGTACCATCCTGTGCATTTTAGTAGCTAATCTCGTTTAATACCCACGGTGACCCCATGAGGTAGTAACTGAGGCAGAGCCAGGGTGTGGACCAGGCAGAATTATTCTTCTCTGAGCACGTTGGTGCCCTCATGTCCCTGATGCAGCAAGATGCTCTGTGCATTGAGAAGAAGGGGTTCAGTCCCCTGTCACAGAGATGAAGGCTGCCACTGGTCCAGTTCAACGCTCAGTGCACAGGAGAGCGGGGAGGGGGAAGTGGTTTTTCTGGCTCCCATCACATGCATCCCTTCCTGTGGCAATGCAACTGGTACATCTGTCCGAGGAAGATCAGAGATCAAGGGAACTGCACCCAGGTCAGGACCAACAGGCACAGGGCGTGGAGGGGTTCTGGAGGTGCCCTCATCTGTTACACCCTGACATGTACCAAAGCCAAGGAAGTTGTCTTTTAGTCCCCTTTCTTCCCCCAAAAAAATACTATAGTAGTGTTATTACCCCTTTCTGATGAATAAGTTGAGTAATACTCATGTAGGAGGCTCAACAAATAGAAATAATAAAAATTGTTCAAAATACCTTGCCCAAAGGCAGTGTCCATCTTGCCAGACACTCTCCCTCCCTCCCTCTCTCTCTCTCTCTCTCTCTCTCTCTCTCTCTGTCTCTCTCTCTCACACACACACACACACATACATGATGATGCCATAGAGCTGTTATTAACCTAGCTGCACATAAGAGTCCCTTGAGCAGCTTAAAGACAGATTGTCCCTTCCTCTGTAAGTCTCTGGGCCCAGATGTTGTAAGCTCCGAGTGACTGCAAGGTGGAAGCAGGTTGAATGCTGGGCTGGGAGTGTGCTTGCCTCACTCAGCACCACGGCTGAGGCCTCTCCTGCCAGTACCTGCGGAGCCGCGTGTCTGTTTCCACACGGGACGTAGTTTCTTGTCTCCAGCTGGCGAATGTCGCATGTGTTTCTGGCTTCCTATATAGAGCTGTGCTGTGCAGTGAACAGTCCTGTTTTTCTGTATCTTTCAAATTTATTTGCAGTTGGCATTTAATGTTATATTAGTTTCAGGTGTACAACTCACTGATTAGACATTTATATAATTTACTAGGAGCCCAGCACATAAATTTGCGTGCGCCACCCACCCACCTGCAGCTCTGCTTGACACCCGAACCAGATGAAGCCACCATGGCAGGGGCCGAGGCAGAGTGGTTAGGAGCAATCAAACAGGCAGGCGAGTGGTTAGGAGCAATCAGGCAGGCAGGCAGGAAGAGTGGTTAGGGGCAATCAGGCAGGCAGCCAAGTGCCCTTGATCAACTAACTCCCTGCAAAAAATAAAATAAAAAATTCCAAGACTGCACCTAAAGTTGTACCAAAGAATCTGTGCCTTGTAGTCTGATACATACTGCCCCCTCTATTCATCGTATGAGAGCCCTATCTCCTCACATCTTTACCAGCCTTGTATGTTGTCAGACTTTTTAAATAGCCCTGTTTTGCATCAACCCACATGTGTAGCCACTGACATTTCCATGGGACATGCAGGACAGCTCCAGGCAAACCGTGTCCTCAGCAAGCAAAGAGGCTGAGTTGGCATCTGGCTGTGCTGCCTCTGCCCCAGGAGCCCTGGCTTTGCCTGCAGGGACACCTGGCCACGCTCCCGTGCTGGTGAGAGCAGCTGTTGTCAGCTGTGGCACTCACCTCAGCCAGCTTCTAATACAAGGAGCCGGGCCGCAGCGGCCTGACCGAGCTGCAGCGCCCTGTGTGCATTCCACCCACTGGCCTTTCAGTCCCCCTTCCTGGAAAGCTGCCTTGGCTTTCAGAGGTGGCCTGTGGCTCAGCCTCCCGCAGCCTCTGCTTCCTCATTCCCTTCCCCCAAAGAGGCCCTGACAGGCACCACGGACAGCCTGCTGCTCATGGATAAGTGCCAACAAGGCTGAGACATGTGAGTGAGAAGGTGAAGACACGCTGACAGAGGTAGCACCTCAGAGCACATCTTGGCGGTGTTAGCAGGCTCACCTTTCCAAGAGCAGGAAAGGAAGGAGGTCTTTCTTCCGGGAGGCATTAGGCCTGAGGGCTCTTTAAACCCGCGCCCTTCACTTCCCAGGGGAAGGCCCTCGGTGGCTTCGGGAGGTGGAGGGGAGGGCCATTCATCGCCGGCTCACCAGTGCCTCCAGTCTCTAGCATTACCTTTTCCAGGACATTACTGGCATCACACAGTGGGTAGCCCTCACAGGCGTAGCAATATGCATGAAGTTCCTCTGTGCCATTAGGCTTTTATTAGAAAGGGGGAGAGAATCTCCGAAAGCAGACAGCAGGTCAGAAACGGCTCACCACCTTGCAGAGGAGAACCTGCACAGCTGTCTGCTTCCGATCTTAGTTCTCTGCTGTTCAGCAGGAGCCGCCGTCTGGTCCCGGCTCATCTGGGCCCTGCCTGTCCTGTGAGCTGCCCTCTGTCACGTGCCTGGTCCGTGCTCTCCCTGCTTCTGTGTGTGGGGTGCAGCCGTGCTGACGGCGTGATGTTGAGCTGCCTGCTGTAGTGGGTCTGTGGTCTGAAGGGACCTGGAGTGCAGGTGTGTCCTTGTCCCCTGGAGCCTGGCAGGTGGGGAGGGGAGGCCTGGCCTGGCCACCTCAGCAGCTGCAGCCTGGACTCTGCAGACTCCCCCGCTCCCGCCCAGGACAGGTGGCTGGGCGGAGAACAAAGCCCCTCTGTGACTTGTGGGAGTCGGGCTGGGACAAAGGGCCGGGGGGAGGGCTGCGGGCCTGAGCAAGCTGATGTGGGGAAGAACACAAAGCCGGCTCTCTTCCTTGTTGTTTTGGGTGTGTGTGGCTCCTGCCTCTCCCAGCTCTCCGGACAGCAGGGTTCCGCAACAGCAGTTTGGGAAGCAGACCCAGCGCTCCGTTTAGAAGCAATGTGTACCAGCCGACTGAGATGGCTGTGGTGCTGAATGGCGGGACTGTGAGTATCACAACGGACGTTTGGGCAGAAACCTGAGGGGGAGAGACAGGGAGTGGGAACAGCGCCCACAGGTGCACAGCTCTCCAGGGGTTGCTCAACCTGCGTAGACAGCAGCTCTAGCAGATGCCGCATGGGAACACGGCGAGACTTGTTTCTCCTCCCCCTCTCCACACACCCAGGCCCCTATAGCGTACCACCCGCACCCGCTGTTCCACCCGCACCCGGTGTACACCCGCACCCCCTGTACCACCCGCACCCAGTGTACCACCCGCTCCCGGTGTATCACCCACACCCTCTGTACCACCCGCACCCGGTGTACCACCCACACCCCCTGTACCACCCACACCCGCTGTACCACCCACACCCCCTGTACCACCCACACCCGCTGTACCACCCACACCCTCTGTACCACCCGCACCCGGTGTACACCCGCACCCCCTGTACCACCCACACCCGGTGTACCACCCACACCCGCTGTACCACCCGCACCCGGTGTACCACCCGCACCCGGTGTACCACCCGCACCCGCTGTACCACCCACACCATCTGTACCACCCACACCCCCTGTACCACCCACACCCCCTGTACCACCCACACCCGGTGTACCACACGCACCCGCTGTACACCCGCACCCGGTGTACCACCCGCACCCCATATACCACACGCACCCGCTGTACCACCCGCACCCGCTGTACCACCCACACCCGGTGTACCACCCACACCCCCTGTACCACCCACACACGGTGTACCACCCGCACCCGCTGTACCACCCGCACCCGCTGTACCACCCGCACCCGGTGTACCACCCACACCCCCTGTACCACCCGCACCCGCTGTACCACCCGCACCCGGTGTACCACCCACACCCCCTGTACCACCCGCACCCGCTGTACCACCCGCACCCGGTGTACCACCCACACCCCCTGTACCACCCACACCCGCTGTACCACCTGCACCCAGTGTACCACCCGCACCTGCTGTACCACCCGCACCCGGTGTACCACCCACACCCCCTGTACCACCCGCACCCGCACCCGCTGTACCACCCACACCCCCTGTACCACCCGCACCCGCTGTACCACCTGCACCCAGTGTACCACCCGCACCTGCTGTACCACCCGCACCCCCTGTACCACCCACACCCGCTGTACCACCTGCACCCAGTGTACCACCCGCACCTGCTGTACCACCCGCACCCCCTGTACCACACGCACCCCCTTTACCACACGCACCCCCTGTACCACACGCACCCCCTTTACCACACGCACCTGCTGTACCACCCGCACCCGCTGTACCACCCACACCCCCTGTACCACCCGCACCCGCTGTACCACCCACACCCTCTGTACCACCCGCACCCCCTGTACCACCCGCACCCGGTGTACCACCCACACCCCCTGTACCACCCGCACCCGCTGTACCACCCACACCCCCTGTACCACCCGCACCCCCTGTACCACCCACACCCGGTGTACCACCCGCACCCCCTGTACCACCCGCACCCCCTGTACCACCCACACCCGGTGTACCACCCACACCCCCTGTACCACCCGCACCCCCTGTACCACCCACACCCGGTGTACCACCCGCACCCCCTGTACCACCCACACCCGGTGTACCACCCGCACCCGGTGTACCACCCGCACCCGCTGTACCACCTGCACCCAGTGTACCACCCACACCCCCTGTATCACCCACACCCCCTGTACCACCCACACCCGGTGTACCACCCGCACCCGCTGTACCACCCACACCCCCTGTACCACCCGCACCCGCTGTACCACCCACACCCCCTGTACCACCCACACCCCCTGTACCACCCGCACCCGGTGTACCACCCGCACCCGCTGTACCACCCACACCCCCTGTACCACCCGCACCCGGTGTACCACCCGCACCCCCTGTACCACACGCACCTGCTGTACCAACTGCACCCACTGTTCCACCTGCACCAGGTGTTTTAATGAACCCTGTGTACCACCTACCGATTGCTTTAAGTGTCCCTGTATCTAGGGGCTCTTGTCCCCAGTGAATTCTTGGGTTTCATTATACAGAATGTACTTCTCTCTCCCTGGGAGGTGACTTAGGAAAATCCCAGAATCACAAAGTGGATTTTACTGACACAAAAACTAGTTAGGTCCCTTAGCCCTCCCGCCGTGTGCCAGCTGGGCCCTGGGCCAGCCCCCTCCTGAAGAGTTATCTTGGGAAATGAAGTGATTCTTGTTTCCCCTCCATGAGAACAAAAGCAGGTTAGCTAGCTGGTGCCAAACAGACTCCCAGCACCATCACTGCCTCTCGCCTGTGAATGGCCTCCTGTTGCTTCTCCACACCCTCTCATCCCCACAACGAAGGCCAGCGCAGACCCTGCTTCCTCCCAGGCGCATGCGCCACTGCATGTGCGCATGGGCTTTCTTTCCCCATCAGTGCACGCCGTGCTGGGCTCGGGCTTTGTGTGGGATATGGTCGGGGCTGGCTGCGCTGGGGCTGGGCTCCTGCCTATGGGTGCTGTCGGCCTTGCCCTGCGGGTGGGAAAGGCCCCAGACTCCCTCACTGCAGCCCTCACCCCTCACTGGGCTGCCCCCGCTGTTACCATTGATATGATTAGAAGGTGGCCCCAGAGATCAGTCCCACGCCCCCCTGGTCCCTTCAAGAGGGAAGGGCACTCTGACTCAGAAGGAGAAGGGTTTCTGAGTAAGAAAACATTTATTATGGCACGTGACTCAGAGAAAGGAACGTGGACTTCCCGAGAACGCAGGGCCCTAGTTCCAGCTCAGGAGGAGGCGGGGCCCGGGGGGAGGCGGGAGGAGGCGGGGCCCGGGAGGAGGCGGGGTCCCAGGAGGAGGCGGGTCCCGGGAGGAGGCGGGGCCCCGGGAGGAGGTGGCTGGAGGCGGGGCCCGGGGGAGGCGGGGCCCCGGAGGAGGCGGGGCCTGGAAGGAGGTGGGAGGAGGCGGGGCCCCAGGAGGAGGCGGGGCCTGGAAGGAGGTGGGAGGAGGCGGGGCCCCAGGAGGAGGCGGGGCCCGGGAGGAGGCGGGGCCCGGGAGGAGGTGGGGCCTGGGAGGAGGCGGGGCCCGGGAGGAGCCGGGCCTGGGGTGGAGGTGGGAGGAGGCGGGGCCCGGGAGGAGGCAGGCAGCACACCCTGTGCCGAGGGGATGCTGACTTCAGAGCACAGAGCTTCCTGTGTTTCCTTGTTTCCAGATCCCAACGGCACCACCGAGTTACACGGGAAGACACCTCTGGTGAGAGCCGCAGGGGACCTCTGAGAGCTCACCCGCTGTCTCTGGAGGAGTCAGCCACGAGGCCGCACAGGCACCTCCGGCCGGAGCTCTGGAACCCCAGGCCAGGGCCAGTGTACTGTGATCCCGCCGCCCGGCGGGCTGTCCTCCCTCACCGCCCCTGCAGCGAAGCTAGCTGCCAGTAGTGTTAGCTCCTCACCAGCAGCGGCAAGCCCGCGCACCCCGGGGGGCCAACCCTGCGCTCATGGCTAGGGCGCCACGGCCCACCGCCTCCTGGAGGTGGCGCCCATGGGAGGCCCACGGGGCTTCCGCTTGCACTTTCGGGGTCAGGAGCAGTTCGGGAGGCTGTGGGTGTGAATCAAAGGAGAGGCCTGGAGGTGTGTCAGGTGCCGAAGGGGTGCGGACTGGGAGCGGGGTGACCATGGCAGTCAGAAAGTGGCCATCTACTACTGCGCTTCCCGGGCCCGAACCCGTGTCCCAGGCAGAGAAGCGAGGCGCTCCCTACCTGGCCTCATTCATTTCAAAGGCTGGCCTGGGGCCTCCAGCTTGAAGCCCGGGGGCGGGGCGGTGGAGGGTGGCACTGCTGCCTGGCATGCGGCGAGCTGGGTGCAGCACGGAGCTTTCTGCAGGTGCGGGGAGTAGTGCATCGCTAACTTGGTGCCTGCAAGGTCCATGCAAATGGTTCAAGCCCTCCAAGCCCATTGCCTGTCGTGGCTCCCACCTGTCCCCAGCAATCCCCCCTCCCCCCCCATTCCAAGGGCTCAGCACCAGCCCTCACTGCACTGCTAACAATTCTCAGTGAGTCTCAGCTAGCGGCTTGGGGCAGTAACTTGAAGCTTTAGAAAACTGGGAAAGGTTAGTATTTGGTGAGGGGATCTGGCCTCTCATAACCAATGTGTCTGAGCTGAGTGTGTTTTAATGAACCTGACTTTTCTCTGCTGCCCACGCCCAGCCCAGGGTCCGACCATTCTCAGGACCCCACCCCAGCCCTGTGGCAGGAGCAGCAGGGGCAGTGGGAACTGAGGGTGGGGGCAGTTGCACACAGACCCAGAATTCTCAAAATATAAAAATCTTCCAACACCTGTGTCCAGGCCACTGGGAGCCGCCTGCGTTTCACATCCTTGTGCCAGGAAATGGTGGCGCAGCCCCGATCCCTGGAGTCCTTCAGAGCCCCGACCCGACCCGGGACTCAGGACTTGGCCGCAGGGGGTGTGCGCACCCCCCTTCCCTGCGTGCAGGTGCCCAGCATGCCAGGTGAGCTCCGGGCAGCGACTGCCGGCATGTAACCTTTGACCCTGCTTGTGGACCAGCTTCATGTCGAGGACTGAGATCTTTTCCTTCTTTCCTTTAAGCCTCTGACAGTGACTGCTCTGTGCTTTGCTTCCTTCGGGCACCGGGATGGGCAGGCTGAGCGGCCCTGGGCGGAGGTGGGGGAGAGTGTGAGGACTGCCGCTTCCTAGTGGCATCACCGGAAGGTACATGGGGGTATCTGTGCCAAAGGCACAGCCCACTGCCCCCACAGAGCCACGCTCAAGTACAAAGTTATGTGGCACCTATTTCTGTTGGGGAAGATCTGAAGAGGGCATCGGTGATAAAAAGACCCAGTCGTAAGCACACCTTTCCACATTCGCTTACAAAGCCACTGTGAACAGCCACGCGTGCCCCCCTAATGCAGAATGGTCCTCAGAGGCTGGTGTCTCCTCTGGAGAGGAAGGGGAGGTCGGCTGGGAGAGCTGGCAGGCGTGCCGGGAAGCTGTGTGCCCAGCGTCTCAGGTCTGTGGTTGGAAGCTAGGGAACCAGTGCCTTCTGCTCCGGTCCCTGCAGATGTAGGGTCTCCTAGGTTGGCCAATGCCGAGTAGCACCCCAAACTGAAAGGAGATTGTGGCTTTCGTGGCCTGATGATGCTGTGTATTAACGACAAAGAGCTACAGCTCATTTCTGATAGATAATATGTATTTATTAAATGTACTAATGCGTGTTTTGTAATCCTCCGCTGGCTGACTGTCGCATACTTATAAGAAAAAAATCATTAAAGAAATTTCAAGACAATCAAGGTGCATTCTACATGACTGTATATAAGTATTACAAATTGAAAAGGTTGTAAAGCATCAGCAGATGGATTTTATTTTCAAAATGCTATTCTTAACACAAAAATAAAGGCTTGACTATTTACATAAGATGTGTGGTAGCTTGTCAAACAACCCAGCACAGCCCCAAGGCTGCCTGTGGCTCTGTGAATGGGAAAATCCTGGTTAATGGCCAAATGAGGGTCATACTCCAGCTTGCCCATTAAGTGAGGAGTTTGCTGGTGAGGGGCTGGACCACGGGCCACCTGCCAGGCCTGACTCATCTCGGTGGTGGGGAGGTAAGGGCCAGCTCCTGTGGAGAGCACGTGCCAGATAAACGACCATGTGGGGTCGGGACTTATATTTAAACATGGCTCTTTGCCAGGCAGCCAAAGTGGGACACAGGAAACAGGACACTTTACTGCCTGCAGCTGGCGTGTGTTGTACGTTTTAAAGATGATGGTGCAGAACACTGAGGCTCTGAGGAGATAGGTGGCTGAAAGAATAAAATTTTGGGATAATGCAGAAAGACTAGTAAAGCAAGAATTACTTGCATTTGCAAACGCTGTTTTACGTTTTCTAGCTGTTAAATCTAGTTGGTAAAGAAACACCAACAGAGGAAGCATAACTGGACTCTGCCTGCACCTGGCTCCTGGGCTCAGAAGGGAGGTCCCTGGTCAAGGAGCGGAGTCGGGACGACAGCGGCCTCGCCCTCCTGCGCCGCCTCCTGCTCCTCCATGGTTTGCTTCACTGCAAAGACACAAAAGAAGAGGTCAGGACTGGCTTACCGCCTGGACAGACTGGCCATTTGGAAACTGAGAACTGGTGTGTGGAGAAGGCCAGTTGTGCCAGCCGCTGGGCTGTCCCCAGGCCGCACGTGGGGTCTACGGCCACCCAGGTCAGGTGAGGAGGGCAGTGTGCACTTGCAGGTGGGGGACTGAGGAGGAAGTTTCTCCGAAGATGACAGATTCCAGCTCTGCCTCAACCCTGTGTCACACTCACCCCTCACCCCCCCAAATGAAAAACTCCAGAGAGCTTGGGGTCAGCACAAGGTCAGAAGAGCATCTTTTCAGACTTCCCTGGTCTGGGATCTGGATCATTTCCTTAGACAAAGAGGAGAGGGAGCTGAACACAGCGTGGACGGTTGTGAGGAACGCAGTCCCAACTGATAGCAGCACCTCCCCCAGGACAGCCCGGCTCCTGGGGGGAGGAGGGAGCCTGTGCCTCGTGGCTCAGGGTCAGGTCCTGCGGATGGGAGCACCTGAGGGCTCTTCTAAGCGAGGCACAGGCCCGCTGGCTTTTGTGGAGCCGGCGGGGCAGAAAGGATGGCCGTTTCCACCGTGCGGGGCAGGGTTTGGGCGAGCCCACTCGGTCCTGGTCCTAGCCTCCCTGTGACTGAGGCCACACGTGAACCCACGCAGTGTGGCTGCCAGGTGGGAGCGGCTGGAGCTTCAGGCAGGTAGGCCAGCCCAGCAGCTTCCGGCTTGGGTGACAGGCTGCCCAAGGGAAATGGTTATTCAAAGTCCATTTCCAAATCACTGTCTGTGTGGACTTGCAGTTGCAGCATTTCTATTGGCCCCACCCCTACTTCCCATCCTGGCCACGCCCCCACCTCCCTATCTTGGACACTGTTGGTGTGTAAAGATGCCCAGGTGACAAAGAATTGGAAATGGCATCCCCCAGGGTCGCCTTTAACAACTAGCAAAATGTGCATGCAATGCATTCATTTAGGTGCTCATCACTGCATTAACTCAGACCAGGACACTTCCATACATGGAGCCTGTGCTCTGGGAACATGGAACACTTCAATGTGCATTGTGTCCGGGCAATCCCCATGGAAACCCTGCTGGCTGACGGGTGAGGAGGCCCGACGGACGCACTGTACACAGCGGGTCTCCCAGCCACGCTGACTGTGTTTACGACTGACTGCGGAGGCCCAGGCCTGGTGGGCAGCATTTGCCAGTTCCCACTGAGGGCGTGGCACGGAGCGGGAAGAGGCCCGGGGCCAGTGAGCAGGTAGACACGGGTACCAGAAGGCTCTCCAAGGGTGGGGCCAGCAACATTTGCATCACTGGGCACGTGGGGGAAAAGCAAATCCCTGACCCATAGAACCGCCGCGGAGCCCGCTGTGTGCTCCCCGACCTCTGGCGGGCGCTGCCGTCGGACTCTGGCCCCTGGCTGCGCTGAGGAAGCCCGGGCGGCCTCTGCAGCCTACTGTGCCCTCTCGCCCTCTGCCAGCGCGTGGGCCGGGCCGGGCCGCAGGGCTTAGTCGAAGCTCCATGTGTTGCTAATCAGTCAGTTGAGAAACTCAAACCATGGCTGGAGTCCCTTCAAGAAATATGATCCTGCCCTCGCCAGCTTTGCTCAGTGGATAGAGCAGTGATTCTGTCTTCCTAATGCCGCGGCCTTTAACACAGCTCGTCATGTGGTGGTGACCCCCAACCATAAAATTATTTTCGTTGCTACTTCATAACTGTAATTTGTTACTGTTATAAATCGTTATGTAAATATCTGTGTTTTCCGATGGTCTTAGGTGACCTCTGTGAAAGGGTAGTTTGACCCCCAAAAGGGGTAGCGACCTACAGGTTGAGAACCACTGGGACAGAGCATCATCAGCCTGCAGACTGAAGGATCCCAGGTTCAATTCTGGTCAAGGTCACATGCCTAAGTTGCAGCCTCGATCCCTAGGGGGTATGCAAGAGGCAGCTGGTCAATGAAAAAAAAAGAGAAAAAGAAATATGACCCTAAAGACCCCTCAGCCATTCAGTTGGTAGCCAGGCCCCCAGCGCACTAATGCAGGGGGAAGGGGGCCGGCTTCAGGGAGTTGGGAGCCTTGGGCTCTCCAGCTCCTCAACCCTCCCCGAGGGCAGTCACTCCAAAGTCTGCATTCCAGAATTTTACCCAATTCCTCCCCATGCCTACAACCTCTCTTCCTAGCTACACTTTGGCCCCATCTCTTTCAGATCCTGGAGGGAGGGGATGGTGGGATGCTAGGGACCCTCCTTCAAGCTGTAGTGAAGATATGAACCCAGCCTGCCAAGCCCGCAGCCACGGGCCGCTCCACCTAAACCCATGGTCGGCAAACTGTGGCTCTCAAACCACATGCAGCTCTTTGGCCCCTTGAGTTTTTAGCCAAGGCCAGCTTACGAGTGCCCTAATTAAGGTAATAACAATGTACCTGCCTATATAGTCTAAGTTTAAAAATGTGGCTCTCCAAAGAAATTTCTGTCGTTGTCCTGTTGAGATTGGGCTCTGTGGACTAATGGGTTTGCCAACCATTGAAGGGCCTGCCCAGGTGGCTGTGGAGCCTCCCCACGACCCGCCCCCTGCAGTCAGTCTGAGTCTGCGCGGTGCCCGCTGGAGAGCTGGCCCTCCCTAAGCCAGGCGGGCATCCCCCCAGAGCGTGCCCCGCCGCTCCGTGTGGGCTAACCAGGTGGCTGGCATCAGAGCGTGGAAGGCACCGGGTGCTGCCGGCTCGCAGGTGAGTGCCTCATGGGCTCCATGGACAACAAGCTCCCCTCAGCGCGCCCTGGCCTGAGACCGAAGGAAGGTGCTGAGCAGGAGTGGGCCTGGCTGGTTCTGTTGAGCAGGTCTAACCCCGAGGGACGCCCCTAAGCAGGAGCTCTGAAGAAAAGCCAAGAACCATTATCGGAAGTGAGTGAGGGACAGGCTCTGGGAGTGTGTGTGTGTGTGTGGGGGGGAAGGGTGTCACGGGAATGCTTTGCCAGGACGTGTGCTTTGTAGGCACTGCAGTTTGCAAGTGTACAGCCCTCCCGGAAAAAGAGAAAGAAATGAACGAGGGAGTGACTAGAAGGCAGAAAGGACGAAGCTGCGGTGGGAGGGGGTGTCCCATCAGTGTCAGCAGGAAGCCAATAGGGAGGGCCCCACACCAAAGCGGACTGTCTGTTAGGCCCAGAGGCAGCGGAGTGCAGCCCTGGACGAGGTTCTGTTCGCTTTTCCCAGGCGTCTTTCTGGCCCTGGGACGCGGTGCAGGGTGACTTTGCTAAAAATGTGAAAACAGTGACGTCTCCTCAGTGGTTTCCCCTAGGCTTGGCAGACGCAGCCGGCACAGCCCGTCCAGAAGGGTGGAGGTGGAGCCTGGCAGCCGTACCCCCGCTGCTCCAGGCAAGGCAACAGGATAGGAAAGGCCTGCGTGCAGCACACCCCTCCTGGTCAGCCTTGGCCTCCACCCCAGCACGAGGGGCTGCCTGTAGCTGCAGATGTGAGAGCAAGTTCAGGGGCCACCGTTCACATGGTGTTGCCCAGACGTGGCCTTGGCAACAAGGATCAGGCACAAATGCCAATTCCTAGGCCCCCGCCAGGCCTTCAGGGTCCGAATCTCAGGAGGTCCTGAGGGCTACCCCCATTTCCCCAGCAGAAATGGGTTGATGGGACAGGTGTGGGAAAGATGGGAAAGAGCCATCCAGCCTCGCCCAGGTCTGAGGACCCGCCCGAGGCTGCTGGAGCCACCAGGAGAGGCTGCAGGCTCCGCACTCAGCACTGAGCAGCCAGGCCACTCCGCAGCCTCAGCGGGGTGATGCAGGGTGCAGCTAGCCTCAGGGAGCTCAGTCCAGGAGGAGGCGGGAAAATGATGGGTTACAGAAACCACAGATCTACACACAGAACCGCCCCGAAATGCTCATCCATCTCAGGTCACACCCCACACAGGGGCAGCATCACACTCAGCAACTTTCCAAAGAAGTCTTCCATTCTAATGTGTTTTGTTACTCTTCAACGGAGGATGTTTTTCACAATGATTTTTTAGAGAGAGTGGAAGGGAGGGAGGACAGAGAGAGAAACACTGGTGTGAGAGAGACACATCTATTGACTGCCTCCTGCCTGCCCCCATATTAAACTCGAGACGCCTCAGTCTGTGGGCCGATGCTTTAACCACTGGACAAAACTGGTTAGGACAAAACTGCCAACCCATGCTCGTTCCTATAGATGAGCCTGTTCTGGGCAGTTCACAGAAGTGGAATCACACTCCACGTGGCCTTCTGTCTGCTTCTCCCAGGCGCGGCAGTGCCAGCCTGTCGCTTGCTCTGTGGTGTGGCTCTGGGTGCGCCTGAGCCCGGCCCCCCTCCACCTCCACCTCAGCCCCTCACTGGCAGCTGTGCCCACCTCAGCCCCGCCCCGGCAGCTGTGCCCAGGGCATGGGGCTCAGCCTCAGAGCCAGTCTCCTCCCTGCAGGAAGGGCACAATAGCTGCTTCTACTTATTAAATCTTCTGTGAAGGTAAGAATAACATGTAAGGTGCCTGGAGCTTAGTAGGCACTCAATGAATTGGAGCTTTCATGAGGATCATGATCTCTGCAGACATGCCGATTTACTTGGCAACTAAGGGACAGGCACACGGCTATGCAGTCCGGCACGCCACAGGGCAGGAGCCATCCCCGGCCTCGTCCTCTTCACTGCAACGTCCTTCAGGAGTCACTCCCGGGTGTGACAGACCCAGTGTGATAGGAAAGCCTCCGTCCAGAGCAGCGGTCACAACCTCAAGGACCTCAAGGACCACCAGTGGACCATGGGTTGGCGACCGCTGGTCTAGAACATATGCTTCAAACGAAGGATCAAACAAAATCTCCATTCAACATCCTGTTCTTCAAAATTCTTTCAACACCCCCCTAATTCTCCCGAAGGCTCCTCAAGGGCCAACTACCCAGCCCCCCTCCCTCTGCTCCTCACCACCAAGTTCTTCCCCTCCGCTCTCCCGACAAAAGCAGAGAACACTCCATTCGCTGCTGCTGCTCT